TGTTTTATACTCCTGAGAGTAAAGAGGAAAGCAGAACAAATGTTAAACCTCCCACACAAAATTCTCAAAGTAATATTATAATTCCCCCTAAGACTCCAGCCTTGCTGCCAGATTGCTTTTTCTGTCAGGTTTCCAAATTCCTTTATTGAGAAAGGATAATAATTATAATTATCTAAAGCTTAAGTTTTTACTAAAAAGGGTTGGTTGCATAGTCATACTCTCTCATTGAAAAATCTTGTACAGTCATTCACCTAATTTGCAAGGTATGGTTACCACACTCAGAGAGGTTCATATATATATATATATATACATGTGTAAATGCATTATTTGCTTAATCATCACCTTCATGGGAAAATTCCTGGTTTGTGTCAGTGATCTCAGTATCTATTCATACAAATTGTCTCAGTATTTATGTCTCTAAAGAAATATTCGTTTGTGTGCAGATTTTTGTTCTGCACCTTCCAATGATGTTTTACAGCTTCTGATGTACTGCCATACCATTTTTCTTATCCATCCTGGTGTCTGCTTTGCATAATTCCTTGAGCTGAGCAAGAACTTTCCTAGAATGTAAGGGAATTATTTTTTTGCTTGTTTTTTAAAGATATCATTTCTAAGCCAGAGTGAAAACAGCAGCATGATGCTCCAAGCCTTTTTAAAAGGAAGCACAGCTGTGTAATTTTAGTATGAGGGCCTTCTTTGGGAACAGAGTGATTTTTGATTGCTTCACACCTAGATTGCTTAGGAGGCTGAGTATTGGCCTAGTGTTATTCCTAGAAGATTACCAACTGGAGTAAGGTAACTGACCTGTTTTATGATTAATGATTACCTGAGATGGATTAATTTGATGATCGTTCTCTCTAGCAGCAAAAATCCTTACAGATATTTTCATGACAGCTCTTTGCTTCTTCCACAGAGTTCTACAACTAGTGCACCAGCATAAACAAGGAGAAAAACTGCTGCAAGAAATATGAATGGTTGTCTGGGGATGGAAACCTAAAGCACATTTGCAATCAGAGAATATGCAGCATCATGCTATTGCCTGAGATCATGTAAAGTGGAATTCCAGAGCAAATCACTGTACAAATATTTCTACAGTTCTAATGACTACAGTTTATTCCTGTGCTGTAACAAAAGAAATCTAGGGGGAAGGAAAGTTGCTTGGAAAACAGCACCTCCCCAGACTAGCTTGCTGCATATCGCCAAGTACAATAGCATTTCCAAAAAACTGATGATTTCCAAAAAACTTGATTTAAAATCATCATATTGTTCTCAGTGTCTGGCCTTGGCTCTCCTACTCATTAGTCATAGAAGTATCTCATCAAATATGCTGTTCTCAGCTTGGCTAAGGATCTATATTCACTTTTTGCATGGAAAAAACCCTAGGTTCTACTTTACTGTTTCAGGATTACTTAGCTGTTCTAAAATTCCACACTTTAATGTGCTCATGCTGTAAGTCTTTGCATTCAACAAGCTCAGTATTTCACTAGCTATGCTTATAGTGACATAGATCCCAAATATTTTTCTAAACCCACCACCCAGTGGATGAGATGGTTAAAGTACTCTACAAAATAAATTCTGCTGTAGCATAGAAAACTCACTGCTTTTCATCTTTGGATCAAGTTCTGCAGCAGCTTTCTTTTATTTGGTAAATCATTTTAAATCCCAGAATTTTTCTGTAAGGCTAAGCAGAGAAATTCTATAGTGTTACATTACATTACAGCCAACATTAACATCTTGAAGAGGCATTTCCAGTTTAGCAAAGTAAGTCTTGTTAGTTAGGGCTTTAGAAACTCAGTGAGTGTTCCCGTTCTCGCATGACTTGCTAAATCTCAAGGATTCATTCTTGCCATCTAGTGGCTTCGAGCAGAATTAAAAGAAATCTGTTCACAGAGCAGAAAATCATGGTTTGTGCTAGCAAATGGCAGTTTTAATTCATGGTTATATTTGAAAAAATAAAAATTATTCTGGAATTGTACCTGGAAAAGAGGACTGTTGCCTCCATGTAACCATTAACTGAACATGGAAACAAAACACAGGATTAATGCTTGGCCACTGAGACTGCTGTGAAAAAACCAGCTCTGGTTACTGCATTGGAGCATGGGACTGACTTGCACTGACTGGGAGAGAAGGGTACTTGCAGGACTTCTCGTATCCAACGTGTCTTTCCTTATAGCAGTCCTGCAAATCTATAAGACAATCCAAGCAGACTACAAACTTTTTTTGTCTGCCTTCATTAAGGTAATATTTGTTACCTGTGGGCAAAAGAAAAAAGATTAAGCAGGATTCCATGGGGGCCGATGGAACCATCTGTTTCCGTTCTGGAGAAAACATGCATCCTTCAGGGTAGATGACGATTAAAAACAAGATAGAAACAGTTCAGTCTAGAACCTCCCATGCACCCTCTTCCAGCTGAATGGCCTAATACCTAGGTTGCAGTTAGGCTCTGCATTTCATGTTCTTTGTCCAGTTTCATTTATTTTGTAGTCTTGGATATAAAGGAATGAATCTTCAACAAAAGTAGCAGAGAGTACTTCCCTACAAAACAAATACAACCTGTTTCAAGGTGATTATCTTCAAAGATACAGATTCAAAGTCTTCAGAATTTAAAATCGTGTTGAAATAAAACTCAAGAGACAAAAAAATAATCAAAATGTTGATTCTATGCAGGGACTGTAAAGTAGCACTTTCCACACAATGGGAAAACAGGGAGAAATAGGCCTCCTTCTTTATCCAAGTTTCCTTTCTGGAATTACCACCTAAACTAAATCACTCATCAGAATTAGTTAACTACGATTTTAAATAAAAGATTAAACTATGGCCAGCCATAGCACAAATCCATGCATTAGCAAAATTGCATGTACTTAAAATGGTCTTCAAATTCTCCCCAGCTCTCAGAATACTAGTGTGTTCTTGTTCAAGCAGAAATACTTAGAATATCTATGAAATGCTAAGAAAAAAGTATACTGAATGGCCGGGGAAAATGACATCTTCTCAGATCAAGGAATGAGGAGTACACTGCAGGAACAGCTGGTAATCACAGCTCTTATAGCCTTGATATATCAATGAGTCTACAGAAAGACCAAACAAGAAATGCTAGTAAGGTCTGCTTTCAAAGCAGAGGAAATACACTTACCCCAATGCTAGTAAGGCCTGTTTTCAAAGCAGAGGAAATACACTTACCCTTAGTGAAACACACAAAAGAACTTGCAATAAGTGCAGCCTCTACAGTTCTCAAAGAATCACAAATCCAGACCAGAAGACAATTCCATGCTTTTGTGTTACCATGGGTACTCCAATATCTATGACATGGATCATCAAGACAGGCACACACAATAATAGACATCTGTATCGAATGAATGCTCATTTTAAGTCTCAAACTCTTTAAAAGCCAGAAATCCACTATGGACTAGAGTATGTATAAAACATTGCCTTTCCAGTAGTCTTCCTATATCTGGCTTTTATGGAATTTGCTTGCAAGTACCATTATTTCCAAACAATGATTGCGGGGAAAAATAGAGTACATGACTGCAAATGAATGGATTTGGTACATTCTTCTCCTGCCCACCTCCCTTCCTTTTTTGGAATAATATTTAACAACTTATTTTCAAAAGTAATAAAATGAACAGACCCTTAGACAGGCTTAACAAAAAGGCTCTCTTCACATAAGCATAGATGCCATAATAAAAATTTACAAGCACTTGAGAAGTTCTGTGCATTTTTTAAAGCACAGAGTATAGTGTTCATCGATAAATATAACTCATGATAAAAATCTTTTATTTCATGACTGTATAGTATAACATTGACTTGAAAGATACAAACAAGGAAGCAACAAAACGCACTATCATTAAAGTATTTCCAACACCAACATATAAGAGGCATGCATTAACTGGGTATCATCAACTTAAATCTCACCATTTTATCTTCATTGAAGGAAAACTATTCTGGAAACTTCCTTAACATTCGTAACATTATAAAAATCATAGAATTGTTTGGGTTGGAAGGGACCTTAAGATCATCTCGTTACAACCTCCAGCGCACCCATGGGCAGGGATGCCACCCACTAGATTAGGCCTCATCCAACCTGGCCTGGAACACTTCCAGGGATGGGGCCTGGAACACTTCCAGGGATGGGGCATCCACAGCTTCTCTGGACAACCTGTTCAGTGCCTCACCACCCCCACAGTAAAGCATATCTTCCTAATATCTAATCTAACCTAACCCTCTTTCAGTTTAAAACCAAACCTTTCTTACATATAGTAGTTCTACTTCATGGAGAAAACATGGTTCATGCTGGTCCATGTCCTTGCAACAACACACAAAAAATAGTAGTATTACAAAATACATTTAACTGATCCCTTGATTTAAAACTTTTGAATCTGATGTAATTAAAAATATAATAATTGATAATAAATTTCCAGATAAAGAGATATCACTATAGAAACCTTTCTTACATATAGTAGTTCTACTTCATGGAGAAAACATGGTTCATGCTGGTCCATGTCCTTGCAACAACACACAAAAAATAGTAGTATTACAAAATACATTTAACTGATCCCTTGATTTAAAACTTTTGAATCTGATGTAATTAAAAATATAATAATTGATAATAAATTTCCAGATAAAGAGATATCACTATAGAAGGTCTCGGACATCACTTAGCACTTTGAATCCTTCCCAGAAGCAATAACAAATACTGCATTTATGGCAGAAGTATCAGATCCAAAGGCTGAATTTCTACTGCTATTAAAATTATAAAGGAAACCAGAAATATAAAAATAGATGCATGGATAGAAAGTTAGTGATTACGAGACAAGAAACAAGATTCTGCCCACTTTTAGTAACTGCAAAAGATGAAAACTAACTTAAACCAAGAACAACCTCTTACAACCTCTTTACAACCCTCTTATTGGCATTTGAAATAAAACTTACGAACTCTAGGCTGTAAACTTTCTTCATTGTTGATTAATGAATATTTTGAAAAACTAGATGAGGCATTCCAGTTTGTTTAAGGTGCTGACAATTTATTTTACAGATGCACTGAAGTTGCACAACTTGTATGAAAAATATAACAATACAGTCAACTACAAAACAGTGGAGTATCACAAACAGTTTGCAAGATTCTTTCTTTCTTCGAATTGTTTGTCTACCGCAAGTGAAAGAGCCTGAAGAAACGTTGTCATTGTAACACTGGGGGACTGAAAATAAGAGAACATTTTGTTAGACACACTACAGCAACAGGCAGACATAATATTTCATATACAAATCACAGAGTATTTCAAAGAGAAATATTTGACTTCCATGTTACAAAGTTTTCAAAATTTTCCAAAAGCAAACTGCAAGTTTATTTTAAACAAGCTGGCAAGGCAAACTCAAAAGTCTGGAGTCAATCACTATTACTGTAGATTGGCTAAAAAGAAGCAAATAACAAATTAATATAATTTATGAAGTAGTAGAGGAGTTTTTTGAGCAAGAAATTATCAGAGAGCCAGTATCAATGTTCATTAATTTAATTAAAAGTAGAATGCTATTGGACAGGTGAATCCCACCCATCTTCTTCAATCCTATTCTAAATTATGGGTAGACTATAATTGCTCCATTGTAGAAACAAGTGCAGTTTAGATTAAAAGGGACATTCAGGCCAATCTTTTACTTCAGGCAGTGTCCAAATGACTTCCTGCCGGTCTCAAACCCAAACCAAAATATAATGAATAGAATAAACTTACTTGAATATAAAGTGCATGTGCCAGGAAAGGAAGCTTTCTCAGCACCCGGCCACCAAGACCTTCACTTCTTCTACAATAAAACAGAGACAAGTGCTGCCTAAATACTTTTGTTTATTTATTTATTTATTTATTCATTTTATTGTGTTTCTCCACTAAACTGCTCTAAAAAAACACAGATGACTATTTTCTCTACAAGCAGACTCAGCAAACCAAAACACTGCCCATTTACATTTCATTCCTTTCCTCCTTGCTTCTGTTCACTTATATCTCCATGCTAAACAGTGATTGAGTAGACTAAAAGGTATCTCAAGACACTTTCTCAGCAGGACCTAAGGCCCATGCTATTTCTGCTATACTGCATTACAATTCCCAATATCCACTAGAAACCTAAGGCATCTTGCTAATCCAGACAGCAATTTGTCAGGAGGACTTCAAATACCAGAGCAGAAACCAGAAGCAGTACTAAACTAAGCCAGATCTGAGACTAAGAAATGTTAGTAAATTGTGATCACTTCCACTTTTTGTGAAAGGTTTTGCACTATCCCCAACACAAAAAAAATCGGGATGTTTCAGAGCTCTAGATGTTAGGAAATTCAGTTACTTTTATATATGTGAGAGATCTTTAATGGCCAATCAATAAACCTTTCATGGTTTATGGAGACATGTGAGAGATCTGCTTTTGTGGATCGGGACAATACAATATATATATGCATACAATATATATATGTACACAATATGTATGTATACAATATATGTATACAATATATGTATAACAACTCAATATATATATGAACAAAAGTAGAACTTCAGAATCTTACCTTGAGATTTCTTTTAGTATAAGGCTTAACCTTGACACATTGTTTTCTACGAAGCCTATCATCTCTAGCTCTCTGAGTGTCAGAAGCTGCTGTCGAGGATATATTATTTGACACTAGAAAGAAGAGTTATACACTTGTTGTATGAAAAACAAATACGTTCAAAATTAAATTCTACAGTAAGAATGGAAATACAGAGAAGGAATGAGGTGTATATTTTTGTTACTTACAAAGTATGATCAAAATGTCAAATTAATTATAATAGAGCATTTTACACTCTTGCTTTCAAATATTACCTTCATCAGTTCTTCCAAACAAGAAAGGTATATTCTAAATATTGCTGCAGTGGATGGAGGTCCAATGTATTGCTTTATGTCAGCCCTGTCTACAAAGGCCATGTCAATTTTCTCCGTAATATTTGAAGTAGTCAGGATAACTACATTGGGATACCTTCAAGATAAAAGCAGATTTTTAGGTCACATGTGAAAGAATTGGCATAGAATGTTAAGGGGTCGGAATGGACCCTGAAGATCATCTAGTCCCAACCCCCACTACCAAGGGTAGGGATACCTCCCCACTAGACCAGGTTGCTCAAGGCCTTATTTGACCTGGCTTTGAACACTGCACTGCCAGGGACAACCAACAGTCTCCCTGGGCAACCTGTATCAGTGCCTTACCACCCTCACAGTAAAAAATTTCTTCCCAATACCTAATCTAAATTTCCCCTCTTTAAATTTATACACATTACTCCTTGTCCTATTACTAAAGTTCCTAATGAAAAGTCCCTCTTCAGCTTCCCTGTAGGCCTCTTCAGATACTGGAAGGTATGAGGTCCCTATGCAACCTTCTCTTCTCCAGGCTGAACAGCCCCAGCTTCCTCAGCCTGTCTTGATAGGGAAGGTGCTCCTGTCCTCTTATTAACTTCATGGCCTCCTCTGGATTTACTCCAACAGTTCCACATTCTTCTTACACTGGAGACACCAGAACTGTATGTAGTGGATGGCAAATTGATACCTTCCTTCTTATGATTCAAATAATTTCATGCATTAAGCAATCACATCACTCTTGTCAATTAGGAATTAGATTAAATGATCTGAAGCTCTTGGCCAGTTATCACTAGCCTATGTCAGTGCTCAGTCTCTTCCAGCTGTTTCTCAAATGACCACAGTTCCTCTAACCTATTTTAGAAGTGATATACAATAACCATCTAGAGCCTACTGCTGTAATTTCTGCCACAAAAAAAAAAATTATTTAAAGACTTGTAAATTTGAAACTTTAATCTACATGTTTTCCAGTTCAATTCAGTAGAAAGTACACAGTTTAACTGGCAATTTGACATATTCTAACTGCAAATGACTTCAGAGTGAGCTTAAAAGAGGACATTTCCTTGCTCTAAGAAATATTGAAGGAATATTCTTAACCACAGCTATTTTTAGATGAAACCTGTCAACTTTTATGTATGAATAAGCCACTTACATTTAAGTAGCTGCAGGACAGGGCCAATACTAGAGCACTGTTCTGTGAACGGTGCCAAGGACACACAAAAAGGAAAGGCAAGTGGCAGCAATAAAGCAAAAGATGGTATGCTGCATTAAATCCAGCACACAGAATGGACCAAGCATCATTAATGATTACTTCTAAGCCATGCCTTGTCCAGGTCTGCTTTAGATTGACACCCAGATGCTGCATATAATGAATTCATTCTTCATTGATCTTATTCTTGTCTCTCCAAGCAGATATCATGACAATCTGTCCTTTTTGTCTCTCTGTCTTGAAGGGAAGTATATTGTCTGCAGGTTTGATTGTCCACTCAGGTATATGCAAAATACTCTGCTGGATTACTCCTCTTTCTTTTCAAAAATGGCATCAGTAACAAAGACTAGTTCACTAACCAATTTGTTTTAGTTTTTCAAGTAGGAATTAAGACTTAGCAGGAATCCTGGAATTGTCAATTACCTTTTGCTACTGCAAAAATATGAGTTACCTTTTAATCTGGTCGATTTGTGTCAGTACAGCATTCACCACACGAATAGCATCTGAAGGCTCTGTGCCTGCCTTGAAGGCAGTGCGAGCTGCTGTGAGGCTTTCCACCTACAAAAAAACCCAAATGAGTCAACCAAAAGAACAAGAAAAATCAATGAACACCAAAAGGGAAAAAAAACCCAAATTGCACGTTTGGAGTTCTGGCAGCAAGAAAATAACCCAGGCAATACACCTTCAGATCCTTGTGTCTGGTATCTAAACTTTGTCTTCAAAACCTTTTGTGAAGCAGGAATTTACAGGGAGAAGGAAAGGCACGTCAAAAAATCAAAGTGCAGCGAGTGAAATTCCTCTTCAGACAGCAGAACAGAGGCTGGTTTCCATTTTAATTAAATTTCAGCGGGGGAACAGGACACACCACCAGAATAATGAATACATTGAATTTAGAATGAGATTCCCCATAAGAACTCCAATATAACTGAGCTCATAAGGTACATACTTACTAAGCTGCTTACGCATGCAAGTCTGAAAAGAATCTAGACATCAAACTGAATCATATTAATGGTTTTTAGAGCTTTACAACAAGTGGAAGAGCACAAATAATAAAAATCTAGGCTACTTTGAAGCTTAGAACAATTCTCCACTGGAAAACATAGAGCAGCAAGGGAAGTTCCATCAAGAAAGGTTTCCATTCATTTTCAGCTGGAATTTGCCTGCTAACCCACACTGTGTTCCTTCCAAAGCTCTCTCATCTGTTGCAGTCAAGATTAAAATTCACTTTTCTGCACAAAGTTATGTAACTTACAAAAAAGCGTAAATAGATTTTTATTGTTTATGCATGAGCATTATTACAGTTCCTTCCCATAAATTTACTTTCTGCTAAATTTAAGTACAACAATGCTATTGGAATCATACCTCATCAATCAGTACAAATACAAGAGCATCTTTGTCATCAACTAACTCTTGAATCTTCTGGAACATCTTGGTTACAAGCTTGCCACTCTAGAAAAACACAGTATGCGTATGTTTAGCTATATCCTTATCACACAACTTTCCAAGGCTTTACCATATTTAAAGATGGAAATACCTGGTTTTTTAAATAACTTTCTAATATAACTTCTATTAAAGCATTCTCAAACACGTTAATTATTCTGAGTAATCTTTGGAACACACTTATAAAACAAGTTCAATAGAAACTGTGTAATTTCTTAAAACACAGACTACTTAATTTGCTACATCAATACATACCTCAGAAAACCATTTAGAGAAAAGGCTATGGCTGTTTATCTCAATTAACTGTCCATACCTATACCTAAAGTATGAAGGGAAAAAGAAGCATCAACTCCACATTGTAAATAAAAGTGATATCATTAACTTCTGTAAATCTCATTCCTTCCATTTCAGCCCTGGTATTCTGTGAATCAGTGCTTTAAAGTACTTACTCTTGAAAACATAATACTTGTTTCAATTGTCATTTCCCTCAATGTGCCTCACTAGAGCTCTTTATACTAGATTGCTATTAGAATTCCTTAATTAGAACAGGTGCTATTTAAACATTATTTAAGTAACAGTTACCATGCTAACAGGCTCATTCTTCTGTTCATGTAAGGTTTTCTTCAGTAGAGCAAGAACACATATAAAAGTATGAAGCTTATTTACTTAACTTGGCATGGATATCCTTATAACAAAATATCCCAACCACACACACATTATAGCCCATGTTTTTCATGCATTTGACTTGGACTAGGGTCAGACCACTTCAATAATTGCACATTATTTATATTACACCTCATTTTTTATATAACATTCATTTTCTTAAATAAATTTGTTAAATTCCTATGAACTTTAAGGCTAATTCTTCTCACTTGTCTGATAAACAAACTGACCTCTGCAGATTGCGGCATTCAGACATTTCAAGTACAAACCAGACTGGTTACAAAATTGCTACCTATTAAAAACAGGTCACAAATACTCTGTGATCCTTTGTCCTTTAATACTCATTGATGTATAATGTGAGCACAAATGACTATATCACCACTGGAATTTGTTTCACACACCTGAGCACAAATAATTACACATTTTAAAAGGCATTCAAATATCATAACCAGTCTCTCTAGCAGATCAATTCTATGGCTAGCCAGGTGTACTACAAAAAAATGCCCAAAACATTAGTGCTTGGCACAAGTTACTTGAAATCAAATATTAAATATATTTGGAGTACTGAAAGAGAACAACTAGCAACAGTAAACTACAGTGAAAAATTTCAAAAAAATTATCACCTGTATGACAGTCGAATTGTCAGCTTCTGAGCCAACGCTTTACAGAGAGAAGTTTTCCCAGTTCCAGGAGGGCCTGGTTTGAAATCAGATCCATATATTACACAGAATCTGCATCAGATTGATAATGACATGCAACAGCTTTTCAACTCCATTTCAGCACAGCACTAATTATAGAATAAAAACACAGCCACCAATGATTGTGTACACCAGAGTACTTCGAGAAAATTACTTACTCCACTACAGTTCTAGAGTTGAGCTTTGAATTTATATATTTTTCAATTATTAGTATAGTTGGTGTGTATACAGACACCATAAACTTAAACACTCTACAGCCACAAGCCTAGAAGGGCTTACACTTAGCAGCATTCTCAATAATCAGTGCTATGCTTAAACCTGTATCTTCCTGAAACATGTTCTTCTAACATGGAAAACAGAAACATATCACAACCAGTTTGGTCAGCTGTCCACATTTCCTTGGGGCAACCCAGAACATCTTGGGAAGTATGCTCTGGAACAAACCTTTTGGATCTGGCATGGCACTAAGTGAAAGAGCTGCACAGACTTTTTCCAAACAGGAAAATACAAGAGCATGAGTCTATGGAAGATGATGTGTGTGTGCTAAACACACTGTTAATGCCAACCAGATGACAGTACTTTCATTCAAATGCAGTACTGCCACTATAGCATAAATGCCTTTTGCACTACAACAGTTTTAGATTTCCTAGTATTAACTTCTTTGTGATCACAAGAATGAATCACAAAATTAAATATGTCTATCATAAATATTTTGTTAACAGTCTGAAAGTCAATAGTTATAACTTAAGTACAATCACCAAATATTTCCACTATGACCTGTTATTTTTGAATACTAGTATTGATGACAAAATTGCAATTTATTAATAGCAAGCTGAATTTTGCAAGAAAATGGATCCATTTGATGTTAATCTCATTTTTGGCATAACCTCCATATTAAACCAGGACTTACTGAAGATTCCAGCTTCACTGAAATAACACTTAACTAAATTAGTGAGAGTACTGCCTTCATACTTGGCAATAGAATACACAGTGTTAGCAACACAGCACACAAACTGCTTTTTCAGTTTCCTCAATGTTTTTATAAAGCCATGACAAAAAAATTATTTCATACTGTGACAGAAGTGTAACTAATATATGCCCCCTAGTGTCTTCAGTATGTGCAGTATTTTTGCTCTTCATACAAAAAAAGCAGCAATATCACTTAAAAATTAAAATTCAAAAAGGCACAGTTGTCATTGCTCTGTAAATTTTAGCACTGAAATTCCTGCAAAACATAGTGCATGTGAACATTGACTTGATTCTGACATTACATTTCATCTATATTTGTATTATAGAGAGAATACTTCTCTGCTGCTTTTTTATCATCTAATTTCACTACACAGGAGTGCAATATAAGTTTTTTCAGAAGGAAAATATAAGCAGTCAATAAATCTACTTGATTTAAGGCAGATCATTTTTACCATGCAGCAAAACAACTCTGTTCCACGATATCAGGTTGCTGTCAACATTTTTGTCAGAAAATAGTAACGTTGTCGTCACATAATCAAGTAACTAATTGAAGAGGAGAGAGACACAAATTAGAGACAAAGGCAAATACAAATAGAAGCAATCTCCTAATCATGTCTACTGTGCACTCATAACAACAACAAGAGAAAAAGTGCTCATGTCTTTTAGTCATAGTCAAATTTATTTCTGTAAAGGATGGTAATTAATTTCTGTCTTGCCCTCAAGAATAAGAATAGCATGCACTAGGCACAAATGGAGTTCCAGAACTTTGAAATGAAATGACTTAAATAAATTAAATTATTTTCATTTTCCATTGCCCCACTTTTAGTGCGTCTTTAAAGCAGAAACTGTCCAAGCACAGAGAGTCAAAGACTCAAACTCCGGGTCCTGTTTAGAGGTTGTACAGCTATACATTTGCTCAGTTTGCTGCAGTCAGCCCACCAAACAAAGCATTTCCTGTCACATCTTATTTCCTTTCTACTGAAGCGTTTGTATCAGCTACTGCAAGGAATTTGGAGATTGTTTATCCTTCCAAATAAGAGAAGTTGCATATACTTCCCTGAACACTTGCTTCTAAAGAGACTGCTACTTCATTACAGAATTATCCAGAATTATGAAGTAGGCAACTCTTTCAACAAAATGAATATGAACTCAAGATGCAAATTTATACTGACTTTTACCAATAGTAACACCTGATACCACATTATCATCTGTTGCTCTTCACTATAATGTGCTTTTTGACCTGCATGTGTTAATAGGACAGCAGGATACTACACCCGATATATCTCATGCTCAAGATGGAGTAATTACACAACAGCAACAGTACTTAATTCACATGTTTTTTAATATTCTATCAACACTGACTACTATTTTGAAAACTCACAGCAACCATTTCAGAGTGTGTAGAACCAAATCATGCCTAGGAAGTTCCATGGTGAATGAAAATTCATTCCAAGAACAAATGTTCATCACTGTCACTTTACAGAAGTGGTTCTAGTTTTAGTCATTAAAAGCAATAATTTCTTTCCACCAATATACACTTAGAGTCAACAGGGATCTGGTTGCTGTGATTTAGTACATCAGCAAGCCTAACTTGATAATATTGTCATTTCACAGATGACTTGGGAAGTGGTTCCATGAATTAGACAAACGTGGATGTGCTAATTGATATTTACCTTATAAATGAAGAGGTACAATCAGTGGAAGGTTTTGCTTTACTGTATTTGTTTATAAAGACTTAAGTGAGAATACTGAATCTATGGTATTACAAACAAGCTAATGAATTAATTATTCGTGTCCAAAAACTTCAGTTAGAAGCTTCTTTTTTTTTTAAAGAAGAATGATAAACATCTTAATGAGTGCTGTCATAAGAACAACTGAATTGAATCACTTATGGGTTTTATTCACACCACAGTTCAAATCAAATTTCAAATCACAGTATTACTGCTCTACAAGCTCTGGCAGTTATCATCACAGCCTTTGACAAATGCACAGAATCTTTAAACTAGAAAATGATCCCATGTTTTGTTTCTTTCAAATGTCTTATCAGCATTCAAGTGGGAGTGCACTCACTCGAGTCAAATCATTCAAGGTGTGTTTGTATGAACAGTAACAGTGCTGACTGACATTACTGCTAAACCAGCTAATTGTTTAGCTGCTGCCAGAAACACACAGATAAACTCCCATTCCCTCCTGCCTAGCCTGCATCCACCACACCTCCACTGGATACAGCAAACTTCAGAAAGGCTTCACTTCAGCTCTTTCTTCTCCTCAAGCAATCTTAATTTTTATTAATTTTCAACTTACGTTTGATTTTACTTCACTATCATATATAAGACTTTCCCAAAGGCCATGGAATTCAGCTGCAAAACAATATATGATATACCTGTTTAGGATAAGTCAGTCAGGGAATTTGTAATCTATCATTGCAGCACGAAGCAGTTTTCCAATTATTCTCAACTAAAATTAAGGATTAAGAACAGATATATGAAAGCGATCAAAATATCTGGGAAAATAAACCCCATGTGAGTCATTTTACTCAAAATGCAAACACTACTTCCTAACAGTTCAGCAGTTTCCTAGCTTATGTTTCCACAGATAATAGTGGCCAGAAATTAATGTTAATGTCTTAACATGAAAGGAAAAATATCATTCTTTCCACTCTCAATAGAGGAGAGACAGAAAGCTATGAAAAGTTGGGGTGGGAGGAGGGTTCTCAGGCAAGTTTTACCATTCAGCTTTGATTTTTTTTAACATCAAGATGCAGAGGATGAAAAACAGCATGTAGGTGAAAAACAGCATGTAGGTGAATAATGTGTTAAAAACTAAAATGCTCACTTGGATATCAACCATTTCTCGCAGTTAGTTTCTAATTTTCAGCAAAGAAAGGCAAAAAAGGATGAACAACTATAAACCACAATAGTGTGGGAATAAGGTCAATGTATCAGATTGAATTCTTTCTGAAAATAAACCTAATGGATAGTTAAGCATTTGACAATATGGGAGGAGTACGAAACGTTTCAGAATAACTGCCTCTTTAAGCTTAAGCTCTAAACTATACTTCTCCTTCCAGGCATGGAATTCAACTTCCCCAAGCACAAGAGAGTAACACGCAGGTTGTGCTCTATTGCACAACCTTATTTTTCTCTTCAGAAGACATTCTGAGGACTCTAAATCTCTTTGTCTGTTCCAAATATAAGAGCAGCACTGTCTTGGAGGCTGGAAGCCAGCAGTGGGCTCTGGAAAATGAATATTTAAACTGATGAGTTTCTTGTGGGTCTGCAAGTTAAAGTTTGGAATGTAGCTTGTTGGGTTAAAACCTTGCATGTTTCTGATTATGACTATACAGTTTAGAACAGTCGTTTCCACATATCCACAAGTATTAAAGAAATAAATGATGTGTTGTGGAACCACCTGTAGCAGTTCAGTCAAAACCATAAAGAAAAAATATCCAAATATATTATTTCCATAGACACAAGACAAAGTTAAACAATATATACAAATAATACCTATAACAGATAACCCTATAAACACTTTCAGGCTTTCCAAGATTTTCTTTTATTGTAATTGCTCTAGAGCTTCCAGAAATATCACAGAGGTACCTGCTGGTAGCACCCAGTGGTGAGCTGCACTGATATCCTCGTTCTCTTCTTCCAGTTTTTCAGAGGTTGGTCCTTCTTCATTCAGATGAAAAATATGAAGAGAAAGACTGCTTTTGCTCAAGTCAATAGGCTAGAATGGACATAAAAAGACTTCTAATGCATCATATTTCTCATTCAAAGTTAATTTTAACAGAAAGAAATTATAGTTCTCAGCTGGCATTCAGCTCTGAAGCCTACCTACTACTGTTTTAGATCTTTAGGCACAAAAACTTCACCACCTTCTCCTGGCTATGCTAGTCAGCCTAATAAGAGATACTATGCCATCCTACAGATCTTGTCTTGCTTATGTCCTTAGGCTATCCCTAGCCTACCTACAGCTAGTTCACGGGCATACTAAACAGTGCTATACATTTGTGACTGCCAATACCTGTCTGTCTTTGAGTTTCAGCTCCGTATCCACAATCGACACAGACTGCACATTGCTGTTAAGGAAAACATCATCAAACTCTGTCCACTTGTAATCACCAAACACGATGTTATGTCTATTCAACAGCCTTAAGACGCTCATCCTAATGTCTTCTTTCTTGGCCACACTAAGAAGAAAGGAACACCATTATTTATTGCATTGACATTTATAAGGAAATATGAACTAGTGTCACAGGACATTATTTCATACACATGGAAAACAGCTTCCATCTCACACACACAAGAAAAAACCCCGCAACGACAAAAAAAACCAAAACAACCAAAACCCCCAATCAACACAAAAAAAAACCCAAAACCCACTCAACCCCCCTGTAACATTCTGCAGGGGGAAAAAAACCCCTATCAAATTCAGTCTGTAAAAGCAACAAGCTTGATGCTTGTTTTTAATCTGTGCATTAAAAAACACAAGCCAAAGAATACTACTTGCTCTGTTTGAGGTCATATCAGGGGTTTCAAGATATCAGGTTTCAAGAATGGAAATCAGTTACAAAATCTGACTGTGCTTCACTAGGCAAAAAAGAAAAACTCAGTGACAAGCTACCAGGCTGAATTTGGTAAGCTTAGCTTGGAAGCTCTATTATACTTTCAAGTCTGAGGACACTTGATACCTCAGGTTGAGGATATACTATATGGAGAAGTCCAGTAGAAGAGACAAACACTGCAGCAAAAGGAATATCATTAGAAGATTTTGGAAAGGCTTCAAGTTCATTTTGCAATTTCAGTGATGTATAACCAGTGCAGACTCCCAGTCCCTTGTCTTTTAAGCCTGACAAAAACAGTGGTGGATATTTTACACCTTGATTTTTAGTAACACCTTGGACACACTCTCCCATAACATCCAGATAGCCAAACTGGTAAGATAAATGAACAACAGGGTGGTTGGACTGTCAGAAGGTTGTGATTAGTAGTACAAGGGATAAGCAGAGCTTGGGGAGGGAAAGGCAGGGTGGTGCTGTTAACGTTGGGACCAACACTGTTTTTACATCCTCATTTACACCCTTGACAATGGAATGGAAAGCAACTGCAACAAGTTTATGGGTAACACCAAAGCAAGGAATGCTGCCAGCATGCCCGAGTGCAGGGCTGCCATTCAGAAGGACCTCTGCAGGTTGGAGATATGGTTTGAGAGGAACCTCTTGAAGTATAACCAAAGGAAACATGAAATCCTGTCTCTTCATCCAGTGCTCAGATAACAGAACAGATCAGAGGCCAACTGGACAAAAAGCAGTTTTGCTGAAAAGGGCCCAGAGGGCAAGTTGGCACTGAGTCAACAGTGTGTCTCTACTACAAATAATGCCAACCTTATGTTGGCTGTGGTACCAAGAGTGCAAATGTTAGGGAAAGTGTCTTTCCATCTAGTGGTACTGTGAGACCCCATGTGGAGTACCACATACAGTTTGGAGCTCTGCCATATGGGACAACAATATACTGGAGCAAGTCCAGAATGGGACCACCAACTTGATTATGAGAATTGATCAGGTGGTGCACAAGGTGAAACTGAGAGAAATGGAGGTGTTCAATCTTAGGAAGAGACACACGTGTGGAAACTCATGGGAGAACATAGAGAAGACAAAGCAGAGTGCTGTGGACTCTTGTAGGTCCACAGCAAAAGTCCAAGAGGAAACAGACAGAAACAGCCTTTGCAAGTAATGTTTTGATCAGAGAGACCTGCTCGATTTCTGATGAACTTCCACATGAATCTGAATGCTGTCACAGACGTTTGGGAGCGCTTGCTTCAATTCTCCAGCGGCTTCGTCCATCCTCCTTGCTCCTAGAGAAAAAGGGATAGGAGGACAAGACACTTCCAGCGCCTGCAGCTCACCCACAGTTACACTCAGCCACGAGTGC